GTATCATCTCCTGACGTGCAAAAACAATCTTTCATTCACATGAGAAGTGCTCCAAAGATCTTAAAGACTTCTCACCAGCGTAATTGGGGGAGCCATAATTACTTGGTTGATAAGCATATTCACCATTGAACTCTCATCCATCGCCAAGCTTTACAGTAGCCATAATTCTTTTGTCAGTTGAGGCGGCACCGACAGTTATAATCCAGGGGGCATCATTGTCCATGGTACTTTCGCTTGGGCCATAGTTGGGCGCGGACGCGCAAGTAACGATATCCTTTTTCATAGCTGCATAGGAACCGATTACAATCCCATTGAGATAGAATTCTGGGCTATTATCGCCTTGGGAAATGGACAGCACATCAACGTTGTCTCGAATTGCATCATCAATGGAAGCCAGTAAGTCGGCTGCACTGGCTAACTTGTAGACAGCAAGATGGGCCCTCGGTGAAATCCCGGCGGCCGTGCCTGGGGCTTGGCCAAGGATATTGGCATGATCGACAAAGTTTTCGGCGGCGATACCTGCATAATGGGAGCCATGGCCTTCAGTGTCGAGTGGTGGGTCTGAACCTAGCCTCAAGCCCTGTGCACCTATGAGTTTGTTGTTGCAGATTGGTGGGCCCCAATAGCAAGAGTCATTCCATTTGGTGGGACGCGGTGGCAAGACATGGTCATTGAAGGAAGGGTGGGTGGGCTTCACCCCACTATCAATAATAACAATGATTTGGCCTTGGCCATACCCAAAGTCATACCACATGCCTTGTGCCCTATCGAGTCCAAGGCACTTGGGGGTGTATGTTGTACGGTGTTGGAGGGCAGCATCTGGGCGAGCTAGGAGAAATCCATCAAACGATTCCATGGATTTCAACTCACCTTGGGTAAGCCATGCGGCAAATCCAATGATCACTTGGCGGTAAGCGTAGACTAGGTGTGGCTCACCGGAGAAGAGGGTGTTGTTGGGCAATAAAGATTAGTACCAACTTTTTCTATGTTTGAATAGATGGAACTTTTTGGCTGTCGGTTTTTGAACATGAACGATATAAACTTGATGATTTTGAAAGGCGGTTGTTTCAATAATAGGCAACGAAAGCTTTTCGTGAACTGGGAGAGAAGAAGCAATATTAAAGAATAAGAAGAGACGAAGAGTGGAAGAAACCTTGCTATAGAGATGGAAATATCCATTGGGGACCAAAGTAAACCGTATTGGGCATATGCAATGTTGAAAGAGATTGAAAGCTCTTGAAAATTTATAGCAGAAACAAGCTGAGAACTGCAATGGTCTGCCAATATTTTAAATGTGCAAGGATGACTATCACATAAATTTTAACTAATATCTGTACAAGGAATGATGAGCAAGCGTCCTAAGAAAAAAGCTACTTATTTTTCACATGTAGGAGAGGGCATACAATCTTGCCAGTGCTATCCGATGTCATTTTACATAGTGAAAATATCTTTACAGTGGCATTCTAAGTTGGAAATTATTTGTTTTTCAGTGATATATATCAAAGAGAAATAATTTTGCACTTCACTGGTACAATAAATAAAGAAGAAGAATAATGTTATCTTGGCAAAGAGCAACGTGGAGGAAGGAAGCTACAACCTTGCATACAAGGTGGGACACAAAAATTATAGAAAGAGGTTACCTAGCACAAAAATTTCTTAGAAGCAGCGAAAAGCAAAGGCCAAATAAAAACTATAGTTGCAGTCTGAAAATCAAAGCCATAAGAAAGCGGTCTCAAACGAAGTCTAAGATGGTGGATTTAAATTGCATTCTTGTTGACTCCTATACATCAGACCACGCGAGAAAGGACTCAAACTGGTAAATAAAGCAATATGTGCATTGATGAAACACGTCACTTAAGGGGTCAAATGATCTCCAAATGCCAAACGGATGGTATCTTTGCGATCAGGACATTGAATTATGCTAGGTTAAGACCCCTTGTAATTGAATCAGATGAGATTGGTCAAAAGAGACGACCGACACCCGAAATTAAAGCGCGAGGCTGATCAAACAATGTCAGATCAACAAACGGACTTCGTCATTGTGTTCAGAACATTACAAATACTCAAAAATATTTTATTTGTTCAATTTGGATCATCCTAATGAGTGACTTGAATTTTGAGACAACATGTATTTCGAGGAAATCAGGCCTCGACATCACTCAGATGATGTCCAATCATAAAACGGACTATGCCATTGCGTCCGGAACGTCCTCGACATTCCAAATATACATCTTTTTGATTAATTGGGATCAATTGTAATGGTGAAACAGATCCCAAGGTAATAACACGCATATCGAGGAATTTGGCCCTTAATGTCACCCAAACGATTTTAGATCGACAAACGGACAGTGTTATTGTGTCCGGAACATTGTCTACATTCAAAATATATATTTTATTTAATGAATTTGGATTGTCTGAGATGGTGGCAAATTTCTATGCAATTCAAATATGATATAAATGCATGCGTTACAACGGAAAAAGGTCTCGAAGACGCTCGGACGACGTCCGATCGACAAACGGAGAGCGCCATTGCATCTAGAACATCGTCAACATTTAGAATATATATTTTATTTAATAAATTTTGATCATCCGAGATGGTGGTGAATTTTTAGGCGATGCAAATATGATATAAAGGCCTGCGTTACGATGGAAACGAGGCCTCGAAGATGCTCGGACAATGTCCGATCGACAAACGGAAAGCGCCATTACGTCCGGAACATCGTCGGCATCAAGAGTCTATATTTTATTGGATCAAATTGGATCGTTTGACGTGATGTCACAAATTTCAAAGGTGATTCAAATATGATGCAAAGGCACGCGTTACGAGGGAAATTAGCGTCGTCGGTGATGAAATGACGTCTGATTACAAAATGGATGGAGCCGTTGTGTCCGGAACATCGTTGGCATTAAGAGTCTGCATTTTATTTGATCAAACTGGACCATTTTATGTGGTGTCGCAAATTTCAAAGTCGATCGAAATATGATGCAAAGGTACGTGTTACGAGGAAAATTAGCCTCGTCGGTGATGAAATGATGTTCGATTGCAAAACGGATGGAGTCGTTGTGTCCGGAACATCGTCGACATTAAGAATCTACATTTTATTTGATCAAACTGGATCGTTTTATGTGGCGTCGCAAATTTCAAAGTCGATCAAAATATGATGTAAATGCACGCGTTACGAGGGAAATTAGCCTAATCGGTGATGAAATGACATCCGATTGCAAAATGGATGGCGTCGTTGTGTTTGAAACATCGTCAACATTAAGAAAATATATTTTTTATCAATTTGGATTGTTCGAGGTGGTGACACAAATTTCAAGATAATTCAAATATGACAATACGTATTTCGATAAAGATCAGGCCTCGACGATATTTGGACGATGTCCGATCGTGAAATAGACTGCGTCATTGTGAATAGGATCTCAAAAATACCCTAAATGCACTATCAATTTGTCTGATTTGATATACGGCGGGATCAATATGTATTACGAGGAGAATTTGCACACAAAACGAGAAGGCGTAAAATCTTAATGACCTCCAAATGGACTATTAGAAAGTCATCAATTCAATTGGAATGAAGAATCTTAATGAGCAAGTTTGCAAAAGCTAGTGATTTAATGATAAAGCCAATGTGTAAACTTTTAGATCATGATAATGAACTCATTTCATGATATTTGATCCATCCTTGAGTAGCAATTAATAGACTTGCAAGTTGTTTTGCAAACTATCCATAAATCATCCTGTAAAGTTCTAAATGAATATTATAGTTGATTCATGAAAAATGTGTCAACTAAGTTGCAAATCTCCAATTGGCAATAATATTAATATTGTCACTCACCTCACATATCAAATGGTGATTGTGGGTCTTCGAAAGGATTCTGCTCGTGGGGTTCGAATGCAAAGGGTACGATCACACTATCCCGTAGGACAAAATGGTCGTAGGCCTTTACACCCGACACAAGCAGGCCGATGGAAGAGCAGATGGAGTTATAGATACGATTAGCCATGAAGGATAGCGGCTTTCACCTACCAACCTCGATGGATAATAACATATATAACCCAAAAGTCACGAGATTTCTCTCATTCGATACATCAGCTCGAATGAGGTTTATTTGATTGTGGGGATCGATTTCCTACGGGCTCAAGCCCCCGTAGTTAATTACATCCTAGGCCTTGACCTAGGAAAACTCTCGATTAAGGATGATGTATTATTCACTTCTTAATTTGGTGCACAGAAAAAGTTCCTAAGTTCTATTCCAAAGGGTCTCTTCTATTTATCTTTAATGATGATTAGACATTTTTGAATGGATAAAGATATGATTAAAATTTTGAGTTTAAAATATCAAAGATTGAATTACTACCCTAAGAGAAATGACAGACTCAAAACACACCAGAAGTGAAGGGACACACTGAGGGGTGTACAACCTGGGCTTACGCTTACCTGGAGTGAGATGCCAGCTAACATCCTAAACACAATCAATCGCTCTATATGTATACAAGATAGAAAGGCTATATCCTAGAAAGTCAAGGAATCATAGTTCAAGATTTTTCAATCAGTGACTCTATAATATGCAAAAGATTTACCTAACGCCATGTATGATGCGTGAAATGGCTACAAAATACCCCTAGGTCTATTGATGTAATGCATGTATGTAAGTGAAATGTAACGTGAAGTAAGGTGTGTAAAAACAAATGTATGCATGACATCTAGAGTACAAAAAAATAAAATAAAAAATAAACACACCCAAAGGGTACCCTCCAGGCAAGGTACCCGCACAGAAAATCATCATAGTCATGCCCACTTTGTGTGGGAAAACAGCGATGCCCAATGGCATAAATAGGTGGCCTACTCTACAGGCCTAAATAACCCTAATTGTCTCTAAAGCTCACAAAAATAAAAAAAAGGGGGGGGGGGGCAAAAAAAAAGGGAGGGTATCGTACCCAAAATCGGAAGGCCAAAATCCTAGCAGAAAAACCACGATGCCCACTTCGTGTGGGAAAACAACGATGCCAACCGGCACAAGTAGGTGGCCTACTCTACAGGCCTAAATGACCCTAATGGTCTCTAGGGCTCACAGAAGGGGGCAAGCTTTGACCTATAGGGTCAAAGCTTCGTCAGTGAACTAACCTAAGGCTGGCTACCTAAACATGCTAGAATACCTATTAACAAGAAGTGTGTGATGTGAAGCAGTTCCGATATATAATTAGGAGTTTATTAGTTGCAGAAATTATACCTGAATGTATGTGGCGCTGCCACTTAATAGCATCCAAGCAAGCAAATTATCTCAGATTGTGGCGCTGCCACTTAAAAGTTTCTAATCGAATGATCCCTTTTAATTCTCAACCGTCAGGATCCGATGTACCTCGCAAGATAAGATAAAAGAAAAATATATATATGAGCGTAGATGCCATTCAAAAAAGAAGTGCAGGTAACTAATAAAAATATAACCAATAGGAAATTAAATACAGCTAACAGAAAATTTAATAATTGCATTTATAGAACATGTATATGCAACAAGCATTGAATAACAAGAGAAAATGTAAGCCTGACCTAGAGTTAAAAGTCGTGTTCTAATCAAACATGTCTAAGGTATGTGTGACAGGTTGTGTGGTTTTGGATAGGTCCTATGTAGGATAGTTTTAATTATAATTGCTTTCATTAAATTTGTTAAAGGTCAAAAGAGAAATTTTAATTTAAGTTTAAATATTAGTATTTTAGGATTGATTTTAGAGATTTTATTTTAGGATTTGATTGAATTATTCAATGGTTATAAATTAGAAAGAAAGATGAATTAGACAGTTTATTATCAATTAATGTTTGACTTAAACTAATTAAGAAATTAATTTTAAATTTT